GTACCTACCTGAGCTGTGTAGAACCTTTAGTTTTTATCTATCCATCTATAGCCTTCACTTTGGAAAACTGCCTCAGAACGTGCCTCCGAGGTGAATTTCACCTATGATGCCTGATAATTTCAAGGCATTTAAGTGGCAGCTACAAAGGTAACAGTATCGACGTGAAAAACAGGGAGTGTGGTTGCCAGATCACAGTCCTGCCTGCAGAATACGTATTTTCTTCACACACAAAGAATACTTAATAATATGACTTAAAAAACAGCTTCCCATCAAGTCTAAGGATCCATGTGGAGACTTGGGTAAATTAGAGAAGCAGCAGACTGGGCTAAGGCTGACTGCGGCAGCTGACCCAAAGCGTGAAGACAGGGAACCTAAGGTTGCAGTGGACAAAGGGCCATTGCTGCCATGCTAACCGCGCCTCTCTTCCCCGCAGTGATGTTCATCCATGCGTCGTTGAGACTTCGGAACCTCAAGAACAAACTGGAGAATAAAATGGAGGGCATCGGCTTGAAGAGGACACCAATGGGCATTGTCCTAGATGCCCTCGAACAGCAGGAAGAAAACGTCTCCAAACTGGCTGACTATATCAGCAAAGTGAAGGAATAAATAGAGCTGACCTGATGATAGGGCTGCAGCAGACATCCAGTCGTGGTTTGTCCTCATGCAGACCTACTTCCCATTTGCATTCTTGAAATAGGAGGTGCCTGTACCACCCAACTATCTCTGGCAGCATGCATGCATAGGCCCAGCTGTTCACATCTCTGATGTGACACAGAAGCCCTCAGAAACCGAAAGAAACTAGCCTCCTGTTAATGCCTGAAGTCTCAAGTGTGTTTGTGCAACTGATAGGAAATGGATCACACTTATTTCTTTAGAGAAATAAAAAGAATTATGGATTGTACAGCAACACTACTGTTAACTTGTAGGGAAAAAATCATTGTAAAGTATCAAGGCAATAGGAATAAATGAAAAAAGACTGTTAAAATAGATGTCGTGTGTTAGCCTGTTTTAAGCACCACCATCCCCACCCCACCCCCACCCGCATCATTCTCCTCCAGAAATATTCCCTGGGACTATAATATGTGGGGTCTAAATTAGTTTAGCTTTTATTATTCTTCTTTTAAAATCAAAGATGATCTGTATCACTTTGCCACCCATTTGACGTACAGTGAAAACTGGATAAACCAGTTGTTTTTATTTTGTTTACAAATAGAAAGATTGCTGTGGAGGAGAATATTTTGTCAAGTTTTTGTAAATTTTTGAAATGCTGTTACTGCCTTTTCATTAGCAGGTATTTGTTGAAACTAAACGTCCTCTTCTTGAAGCAAGTTAGACCTAGGGAACCTGTATTATTTTTGACAGACTTGGTAAAAAAAAAAGCAACAACAACAAAAAAACTTGAGTTCTGTTTATATTGCACATTTCTTGTTGTGGCAAAAAGGTGTCCAAGATCATGTTTCCTGTATTTTTTCACTGTTTAACTTTTAACTGGAACATTTCAAAAGAAGAAAATCAGTGTGCATTTTATTAATTCCTTAGGGGCACAAAGAAAACAATAATGGCTGATCTTTTGAAATCTGAAAAGCATCTCTAGATGACCAAGCTAAAAGACATGAACGTGGGAGTGATCAGTGGGTTCTGCAGTTCAGAAACGTTTTAGATAGCAATTGTTACAACCACATGTTTTTACAGATAGGCATTAGAATCAAGACAGCATGACTTTATATCTCTTTTTACTTTCTTCCTTTTATTTCTCATGTATTTAGAAATAGATTATACAAAAATGTTTTGCTTGTCAATTGAGTGATTTCATAGATGTGTAGAAAACATTTGGGTTTCCCTAACGCTGAATTATGAAGACAACTGGAGCGGTATTTGCCGAAGAGACTCTGTATGTCCTAAAATAAGAAGCAACCGCATATGCTGCTTCCCATCTTTCCTGCATTTTAATTCCTCAGCCAACATGCAGCCTTCATCTCTAGCACAGTGGTATCGCCGTGTCTAGCGTTTGTACCCTTACCCAAATATGGAGAATAAAATTTATCAAAGATTTTCTGCGTGTGTGAGACTCCGTTTAATGTGCATCTGCGCTAAATATCTGGGAGACTCGGTGACAACCCTTTAAGCAATGACGATGTGCTATACTGCAGTACTCACACTGCTCGTGTTTCACATACAGTGTGGTTCCCCCGCCACACGTCAGCTACCTGCTGTCAGCCTCGGTCCAGAAGCAGATGATCCTCTCTGACACATCATCAGGAGGTCCACAGTAGCCGAACACTACACATCACGGTGCCTACGACATTCCCTCACTTCATCTCATCGCGTAGAATATTTCTCATCCCATGTCATCGCAGAGGAGGGGTGAGTATGTACAATAAGGTAGTTTTGAGAGACAGGTTGCATTCACATAACTTTTATTACGGCATATCTTATCATTGTTCTAGTTTATGATTTTTGTACTTAATCTCTGTGCCTGATTTAGAAGCTAAATATTCTCCTAGTTATGTACAAGAGAAAATATATGTAGGGGGTTCTGTACTATCTGTGGTTTCAGGCATCCAAGGGTGGGGGAGGGTCTTAGAACATATCCCCACTGGATTAGGTGGGGACTATGGTACTGTTTACTAAAACTTTAACATTTTATTAATTTCCAGCCAGAATAAAATTGAAATACAACAGGATCCTCTTCTAAACCTGACACGTTTTAGCCCCTTCCACTTTCTACATGAATTCTGTAGACTGAAAACAATCTATTTGGAAAAAGTGACAACTTAAATAAAAAATACACTCATTATAATTACCAGTGGTTGGTGGTCAATACAATAATAACAACAATATGCACAAGGAGCATCTAAGTGCTGTATATGATTGGATTTTAAAAACAAGTTAAGGGGCACCTGGCTGGCTCTGTCAGAGCATGCAACTCTTGAACTCAGAGTTGCGAGTTTGAGCCTGATGTTGGGCGGAGATATTATTTAAAAATAAAATTTTAAAACTTTAAAAAACCAAGTTTCAAGTTACATTTTAGGAGGGTGACTTACCTATCATTCATTCCTTCCAGAGGCCACTGAAGACGTTAAAATTTTAAACTAATTTTTAGGGTAGGAGTCGGTTGATGGAAAAAGCGTAAGTAAACTGCTTCACCTGTCTCTTGACAAAATCTGGGTACCATAGCAGTAAGCTATGATTTGGGATCCTCTTTTCTCTTTGCATATCCAAGATTAAAGACCTCTTTTAGGACTATTAGCACTTGTTGAATTTCCTGATTTTATTAATACTGTGGTTATATAAACAAAGGCATAACAGCTTTCAAGAACTTCAACTACTAATAGAGTAGGCTTTTAAACATGTTTAGAGCACTTTGTCCCATCAGAGTTTAGCCTCTTGATGTAGAATATGCTAGACGCTTAAAAAGTTTTATTTACAGCAGTCCTTTCTTAACTATCCTGCTTTGCATGCAAGGATGTTTTATAGAAACAATAACAAAGGCAGAAATAAGCCTCTCAAGTCATCCGCTATTGTAAAATCAGTTACCTGATTGAAGCTATAGCTGTTCAAATTTGGATACTTTGGCACACACTTTATCTTTAAAAATGGAAACACCATATTTCTTTCCCATGGCCTGTCCTTCTAAATTATGTATTTTTTTTTTTAACTCTTCTTAGGTCTGGCCTGTTTGGCTTGTTATGTACCACCTATGATTATATAAAAGGAGAAAGGCTGCAGGTGCACCTTTTCACTCGGGTAGAGAAGAGAGAAAAGGCACCAATGTGTGGTTTCCTAATTTCTAATGTTCACGCTACTTCTATATAACAGCCAGATTCTATGTATATAGGGACTACATGGATAATTAAGGGCTCTAGGAACTTGGAAAGAAGAAAGAACACTGGGGTTGGAGTTGGCTGGAAGATTTTTATGGAGGATTACGGCCTGATCTGGGCTTTAAAGATGGGTTGGTCTTTTGTAATGGAGGGCAGGAGGGAAGTGTTTTGGAAGGTGTTCTGTAGAAGGGCCATCAAGTGCAAAGGCATAGATGTGCGTGAGGATGTCTTATGAGGAGTATAAAGAATCTGTGGCAAATATGACTGAAATACTAAATTGGGAACAGACAGTGGTGGACCTTGACTAATATAGTAAGAAACTGAAAGTTCATCTTGTAGCAAATTTCCTTTAGAAGATTTTTCAGGAGAGCAACAAAATCAAATTAGATTCACTGACTAAGGATATGTGTGTGTGTGTGTGTGTGTGTGTGTGTGTGTGGTGTGTTTTATACATATTAGCTCAAACTAAATATTTGTCAATAATTATATTATTTATACAAAACTTTAAAAAAAAAACTAACATGTCCTCTGCCTCTCTCCATCTATATATGGAAACAGGGAACTATGTGCATATATATATTGTGTTTGTTTTTCTCATTACTTTTCCTGGAAACACTATTTTCTCCATGTCCTGTGCCTTAATTGCTCTGCTCCTCACAGATACACACACACACACACACACACACACACACACACCTTTCTGAAGTACGACTCACCAGGGCAATGCCCAAGAGGACAAGCTCAAAGGGTTGGAAACTGAAAATCCCCGGCTGATTCTCCAAAGAGCTCACTCACCATTCTTCCATTCCATAGCATGAGAAGGGCCTGGAGTTCAATTCACCCTTCACACACCCATACAGGGAAACATAATTTGTGCCCTTTAAGACACCGCATGATGAATTACAGCAGGAGATGGAGGGAGACATACTTAACACATCTAAAATATTTATTGTTCTTTTCCAGAAGAAAGCAAAACAAACGTTTACGAAAACAAAAACCTCTTTGAAACTTCTGTTGCTGGAAGTGTGCCTGCATCTTACCTCAATCACACGCAAACTGATTGGAAGTAGAAAATGGTGTCCCAGAGTAGTAATTTTTTTTTTTATCTCCTTCTCCCTGTTCAGCCCGTATTTTGCCTCTGCCTTTATAAAACTCTCCTATCGGATGTCAGCCCGTTCCTGGTTGCACCACCTGGCTCCAGAAGTATGCTGCTGAGTCTCCAAGCTCTGATCCAAGAGTCTTCATCTCAACTCCTTATTCTTCTAGATGATTCTGTTGCCACTTATGCCAGTTCCTTTGGCAGTTGCACCTGTGGATTGAAGTTGTTGAAGAAAAGGGAAAAAAATCAATCCTGGAAATTCAAGAGTTTTACAGCAAAAATGACAAAACTTACTACATGTCTGAAAACTTACAGAATGGATGAGAGGTACCCAGATTATGATAAAACAACAATAACAGCCACAGTCCCCATTCAGTGGGCATTGACTGATACCAGGGACTGATCTAAGGGCTTTATGCACATGGTGAAGCATATCATAAAAACAAAAGGGCAGATGCTGGAGTTTGCCTGGTTCAAATCCTGGTACTGGCGCTACTAGCTGTGTGGTGCTGGGCATCAATTTTCTCCGCTGTAAAGTGACAGCAACAGTATGTGTCTAATGGACAAGGCTATTTTAAGGAAGACGTGATATAATACAAGCTACTAATGAACATCAACACTTCAAAAACAAGGCTATCCTACAATAGCCTTGTGAACAGGGAACAGGCTCAGAGAGGAGAAACAATTTGCCACACAGCTAGTAAGTGGCAGAGCAGGATTTGAACCGAGATCTGCCTGATATCAGTACCCAAGCCTTAACCACAAAAAATACCACCACAGAAGCATAAAACATACGTTCTTTTACAAACTGGTCTTTTTGGGGCGCCTGGGTGGTTCACTTGGTTAGGCATCCGACTTTGGCTCAGGTCATGATCTTGCAGTTCAGGGGTTCAAGCCCTGCATCTAGCTCTGTGCTGACAGCTCGGAGCCTGGAGCCTGCTTCGGATTCTGTGTCTCCCTCTCTCTCTGCCCCTCCTCCACTCGTACTCGTCTGTTTCTCTTTCTCTCTCAAAAATAAATACTAAAAAATTTTTAATAATACAAAAAACTTGTCTTTCTTTTTTGAAATGCATTCCTAATTTGAAACTCACTTAAATTTTAAAAATAAAACATCATTGGGAGAAGCCCCAAGAGCCAAAAAAAAAAAAAAAAAAAAATTACAAAAGAACAGCAGAAGTCTCAGAGTACCTGGGTGGCTCAGTTAGTTAAGCGTCCGACTTCGGCTCAGGTCATGATCTCACAGTTCATGAGTTTGAGCTCCGTGTCTGACTCTGTGCTGACAGCTCAGAGCCTGGAGTCTGCTTCAGATTTTGTCTCCCTCTCTCTCTGTCCCTCCCTCAGTCATACTCTATCTCTCTCTGTCTCTAAAAAATAAAAAATAAACATTAAAAAAAAAAAAAGAAGAGCAGAAGTCTGACTGCCAATCAACTTTTCATTTTGTTTCATAGGAACAACTTAAAGATAAGGCGAATTTCAAGTGGTGTTACATCTTAGGAGGGTGCCTTACCTCTCACGCGTGTACCTTCCAGAGGACACTCAGAGTTTGTACACTAATGACTAAGAATGTTCCTCCTCCCCATGTCCACCTGCCAGCATGATGAGCCATCATGGCCATCTGCTACGGCCCCTCCTGCAGCCAGTTCTCTGCCCATGACCTTTGGCTGGAAAGATTTCCCAACATCCTGCCCGCAGGGGAGACTGCTGATGTGTTGCTGCTGCCTGCCCAGCCTTCAAACCCAGGGGTTCTCCATGTGATTGTGGCCCTCTCCCTCCTCATGTCAGACTTTCCAGAGGGGAGGGTTGTGACTGCACCTTGGTAGGACCCAACCACGGAGAGCACCAACAGCGAAGAACACCAGTGAGCAGAAAACGCACTGCTGGTTATTTACAGTGACTGCTAAGTTGCAGCAAATAATTAAAACAGACTGTTATTTGTATTGCTGAATGGAAAAAAGCATTTTATATATATTATTATTTATATTATATTATATTATATAATGTTATATATATAATGTTATGCACGGGTGGGTTCCAAATTCATAAAAATCTTTTAAAAAGCAGAATGTGGCACTGGCCCAACATAGTAAACCCAGATACATATTGACATATTTAAAATATGACCACATTGGCAATTCACTGTGAAAAAGAATGAGTCATTGGTTAGCTGTCATTGGTGAGCTCTTTGGAAGAAAAATAACAAAGTGGGCTTTTTGTTCCCTATTTATTTCTTTTTCTTATTTAAAAAAATTTTTTAATGTTTATTTATTTTTGAGAGATAGAGAGAGACAGAGTGTGAGCAGGGGAGAGGGAAACAGAATTCGAAGGAGGCAGAATCTGAACTGTCACCACAGAGCCTGATGCAGGGCTCAAATGCACAAACCATGAGATCATGACCTGAGCCAAAGTTGGATGTTCAACGGACTAGCCACCCAGTGGCCCCTACTCTCTATTTATTTCTAAAATTTAATCCTTTAATTCATCTGAAATATGGAATATTTTTTTAAAACCAAAAAACTATAGGGGTGCCTGGGTGGCTCAGTCGATTAAGTGTCCAACTTCAACTCAGGGCGTGGTCTTGCCATCTTTGGGTTCAAGTCCCACGTCGGCTCTGTGCTGACAGCTCAGAGCCTGGAGCTGCTGTGGATTCTGTGTCTCTCCCTCTTTCTCTGCCCCTCCCCCACTCATGCTATCTCTCACTCCCTCAGAAATAAACATTTATAATTTAAAACAAAACAAAACAAAACTACAGCAACAATAAAAGTTGGGCAAATATCTTAGTAATCTCCAAAAGAAGCCATTTCTAAGCAGAACACAAAAGACAGAAACCATGAAGGAAAAGAGAGCTAACCTGGATGTTATAAATACATAAAACTTACAAACACATGAGAATCAGGGTGCAGTATAGTTAGCGGTCCTGTTACCCCTTCACTTGTTGGTTAAAACTACTTAAGGAAAGTGTGTGTGGAGAGCATTACACAGGGCACACACATACATACATTCACAGAGACTGGGCCAAGAGGAAAAGATCGATCTCAGCAGCGGTTATTTAACTTGGCATATGGAGTTGAATTCCTGCTCTCAGTCAACACCTCAGAGGGTGTCCAGAACAGAGATGAAGAAAGGCTACTTTGAGGAATTCACAATCCACTAGGAAACCTATACTGTACCCTTAAGGGGGCTCAACCTGAAGCAGAATGTGGAAGATACAGTAAGAGAGGTACAGATGAAGGATAATGGAAATAAAAAGGGAGAGTATTCACTACTCGTAATTTGTTTGGTTTCTTTTATTGTAAGAAGTCGTATCTGAGTCAAGCCTGTTTGGATAGATTTCAACCGATAGAAATAGAATTCAAGGTCGTTTGAGCAGGGGGCGTGGAGGTCAGAAAGGAAGTCCCTTTAGGGGAACTGTTAGGAGATGTGGTTTGTGGTGGATGTCACAGAGTTGTGATCGTCCAAGTGTGGTGTCCAAAAAAGCAGCATCGGCATTGCCAAGAAAATTGACAGAAATGCAAATTCTTGGGTACCATCCAAAACCTATGGAATAGGGAACTCTGGAGGTTAGGTTCGGCAATCTGTCTTTAGCCTTCTAGGTGATTCTCATGCATGCTAAAATTTAAGAATCACTCTCACAGACTTCAGAATCATTGTATACCATAAATTCCTTTCTACACTAGGTATTAGGAAATGGCAGTTCTTAGACTAAGTGCCTCTGTCAGCATATGCTCTTTCAAGAGGAGTTTGAGATGTGACATAGCTTTTTCCCATAGAGACATCCTCTAAAGGAACAAGAAATTAAGGCAGGAAAAAAATTGTTGAAGATAATGCTGGGGCTTTGGACCTGAATGTGTGAAAGAAGGGCGAGAGCATGGAACACTGGGAACCAGAAACACAAGTAGATCTAAACTCAAGAGTTTGGCTTGGGGACAAAATGGATGAAGTAGCTAAGAAAACTCCAGCGATCTAAGGGGAAAGAGAGATCCGGGGAGTGTCCTAGATTATGTGACAATTGAAACAAAGGGAAAAGATAAAATAGGAAACAGGAGCAAATTGCCGAAGGAGAGAATCCAGAAATCCTAAAGAGAAAGAAGATCTTGTTAATGAGGCAAAGAAGAAATGGCCAGAAACGAAGATAAATCCTCAAGAGTTTATAATGATGCATCTTATAATCACAACTGCCAATATGTCACGGAGTCTTTTCGCTAACCAGGGCTGCTTATGATATTATTAAACTGAAGTCTTTCCAAAGGAGAAATTTAGCTGTGTTTTTAGGCAATTGAGTGGACGCAATCCAGATATACATAGGTGAGCCCAAAATGAAACTGAGTTAATGTTAAAATGCCTTTTTGGATTGGCACTGAAGCTTGCGTAAGACATAAATGCATTTGGCCTCAGTGAATTCAATAGTTGTCGCAGATGGAATTTTATTTCAGGGAGAAGTACAAAGACCCATCTGGGATGGTAGGCAGTGAGTAGTCCACAAAATTTTCAAGATGAAAAAAAAATCACACATTTGTCAGGGAGGGATAAGATTGTACAAGCCTAACCTCTTTGTTTTGGGCTGGTATCATATTAACTCAGTTATTAACATACAGGGAAAGGAATTAATGACTATCTAATCAATTCACCTTGTTAGACAAGACAGTTTAAAAGCACAGCTAAAAACAAGAACAAAATAAGCTAAAAAAATGCTACTAGAGCCAAAAAAAAAAAAAGTCATGCAAGTGAATGAAACAGGCCAGGTATTAGGCAGAAGGGCATCGTGGAGACTGAGGAAAAACTGAGAAGCCCATGACCTATCTCAAGCGAGAAGCCAATCCCAGATCCGCCTGATTCGTACCATACAAATACAAGCCCACGGTGGCCAGATCTCATGTTTCCAGTGGTGACAGATGCCTCAATGTTATTATGCAGTATTTCAAATTCTGTACAACAATACTTAAGCCAAACAATATAGGCTTGGAGGTTTGGCTGACAGTCTGTCAGTTCTCCAATCCTGGCCCACACAGCACATACATCTCTCTTAAACGTCTTGGCAGCTTCTTGGATGAGGTAACATTCAAACCCAGCAAGTGTACAGGTTTTCCTTTATTCTTTGCTAGCAACTTCATTTCAAAGTTCCCAGTCCAGAAGCAAGCATGAGAGAGAGAAAGCATGAGCAGAGGCGGGTCAGAGAGAGAGGGAGATACAGAATCTGACACAGCCTCTAGGCTCTGAGCTGGCTGTCAGCACAGAGCCCAATGCGGGGCTCAAACCCACGAAACGTGAGATCATGACCTGAGCCGAAGTTGGACACTTAACCGACTGAGCCACCCAGGCACCCCCAAAAATAGTATTTCCAAGTCTATGAGAGGAAAAGAGCTAGTCTTGTTTTTCCCTTTTAAGTTTTCTAAGACTAAATTTGTATTTATGTTTTTGGACATTCTAGATTCCAGTTAGGAGCATCGGTAAAAAAAAAAAAAAAATCACATTTCAAAATTATTCTTCACGTTTAACCTCATACTTGAAAACCCAAGGGTTTGGAGGGCATCTCTGTCTACCAATGCAAGTGTGGAGAGAAAAACCTAAAAACCTTTAGTTTCAGCTCTCCAAAGCAAATGCTGTGATGTCTCCTTCGACGGGCTAAAAATATCCCTTTCGGCTCAGATTTTGTGATACTGTCACCAGTGGCGTTTTCAGTGACATTTCCATAGCCCCCAAATCAGAAAGCATCTTACCAGCCCTGATGTTTTACAATAGCTGGTTACAGATGCAAGCACGAACACACCACAGTCTCTGACACTATCTGCACTTCCATTAACTACACGGGCAGATGTATTGCCGCCTGGCTAACTGGGTTAGTAGAGCATTTGACTCTTGATTTCTGGGGTCATGAGTTCAAGCCCCACACTGGGCGTGGAGCGTACTTTTTAAAAAATTACTGTTTTGGGGTGCTTGGCTGGCTCAGTGGGAGTAGCATGCACCTCGTGATCTCAGGGTCATGGGCTCAAGCCCCACACTGGGTGTAGATTACCTAAATGAAACAGGAAATAGAGTAGCTTTTGAAGAATGTCAAGGTTGACAAAATGTGTTGGGTATGTACCAATTCTTTGTGCTATTTTTGAACTTCTACAAGTCTAAAATGATTTCAACATAAAAAGAATAGTTTTTACAAAGATCACACTACGATTCAACATGAAAGCGGAGATTTACTGTGTATGTAGCAAAGCACACAATTTGATCAGTGGGGAGCAAAGGGACATGAGTGAAGTTTTGTCAGTGGGATGATCATTTTGACATTTTTCCAGAGCATTTTAGAGGACTGTGTGGATGAAGTTGTTTGACATTCTGCATCTTAAATACACGCAAAGAGATGCCTATTGCTGGCCAATCCAGGCAGTGGAAAGGAGGCGGGACTGCCAATCCATTGGAGCAGATAAGAGACATTTCAAAGCAGAGGCCAATATGCAAGACCGTCATTCAAAAATCATGTCAGAGTTGACTATGAAACATGTTTCTTTCTCAGTGGATGGTAAAAACAAAACTTAAAAGTGATAACTTTTTAAAGTGGTCAAAAATGGAAAATATAGTACTGAGCAGAGTGCCGCGTTTTTGTAAGTAACCTTGTGAATTTATTTTAATGCCGTCTGTTCTAGAACCTGAACTCAAAGTTGAATTGGTTTTCAGCTGACTAAAATGCAGAGTGTCCTGACTATGGAAACTATAAAACCGAGATCCTGAGCTCCATGAAGCCAGTAAGACTGGACCTGTCTTATTCACTTCTGTATTCCTGACCCCTTGGATGGTGGCTGACGTGTAAACAGTACTACGGAAATATGCATTACATAATGAATAAGTGACTGAGTAGAATGAAACAGACTCCAGGAAAAGCAGACTTGCTCACTACAACACTCCCCTGGAAGGCACGGAGGTGGGTCAGATGATCATATGAACTCCATTCTCTCTTCTACTCTGAATCCACAGGCCACCTCTAATGCAGATCGTAAGAAGACTTTCTCTTCACCCTTTTCAGGCTTGTTATTTTTTCATAGTACAGACTCCCAAGGAGCTCCCATATGCTTTACCAATGATTGGTTACACAGTAACAGAGCTAGTGTGTCTCAAATCAACAGCCCAATCCACCCCCTACAGAGGTCTGGCTGCCTGGAGAAGAGCAGGTGCAGACGGTCTTGATGTAGTTAATACCAAGGGCAGGCAAAGAACTCTTGCCTGACCTCATGGGACCTCTAGTGTGCTCACCCTAGCTTCTCCCCTAGGAAAAACCAGAATCCTGCAACATAGAGGAAAGTCATCTTTGATTTGGAAGAAAAGAATATTGTCTGGGAGATGGGAGGGAACAAGGGACATACATAGATATGTAGAACACATCTTGAAAAAAATTGAAGCTCTTCATGATAAAATCATACATGGACTATTTTGGCTGAATTACACACTAGATTTTAAAATAATACAGTTAATTATCAACTACCTGTGACCTTTGGACACACACCTTTCAGATTCCATAAATGCTATCATAGTAATGACCAAAAATAATTATTTCTTCAACTTAACCTGCAAGGAATAAAATACTTTCACATATCAGCAGCAGTAATAGTGAATCATTATAAATATTAAAATTGAAATAGTAGTTAAAACTCCATTAATTCATGGAGACACTAACTTGAAGTTTACCATTTGTCTGGCTGTCTAACAAGTAAAGCGTATATAAATGCAATTGTAGGTAGTCTCTCTTCATGTACTAAAAAAGTACCAACTATTTTTAAACACGTCGGAAGCCCTCTGTTGTTTACAAACAAGGGGCCTAATTTAGGCATCGTTCTTACTTATTCCTGCAACAGGTTCCTCAAGATCTCTGGGGCAAATAAAAGCTTGACCTTGAACTTGGAACTGAATATCAGTGTCAACTCTACCTCTTTCTAGCTGTATCTCCTATACTTGTTATTTAACTTCTCTAAGCCTCAGTTTCTTCTGTATACAATGGGGAGAATAATAATGCCTCACAGGGTTGTTAAGATGATGAGTTAATTCATATAATGAATCTGGCCCATAGTAAGTGCTTAATAAATGTTAGCTGTTAGTATTATTGTTACTAAGGTGTACAGATATATGTATGCCCATAAGGACAACAAGTAATTTAGGTCCCCTGGTAATGCTGCTAATCTTACCCCAGTTAGTCACAATTAGTGAGGGTGTCCTGGCGTTAAAGTGAGCAGGGAGGAGCGCCTGGGTGGCTCAGTCAGTTAAGCATCTGACTTTGGCTCAGGTGATGATCTCATGGTTCATAAGTTCGAGCTCCACATCTGGCTCTGTGCTGGCAGCTCAGAGCCTGGAGCCTGCTTCAGATTCTGTATCTCCTTCTCTCTCTACCCCTCCCCTACTCATACTCTGTCTCTGTCTCAAAAATAAATAAACGTTAAAAAAAAAACAAGCCGGGAAAAGAGGTGGGATACACTGGCTGGTGCTTGCTCACCATTTCTTTTTCCCTCTACTTACTGGCTTAAGGTAGGCGACATTGCTGTGACGAATGTCATTCAAGAGCTGATCTCTGGGAGTAATTTCCACCAGCGGGGGTGGCCTATTTCTCGGCACTGGTTTCAGCGTTCTGATGACGTCTTTGAGGTTGGTTTTCTCCGGAGGTTCTCTGGCCTCCGGCATCCAGGATTTGCGCTGGATCCTCTTCAGTTTCACCACCCGGAAGGAGTCAGGGTCCGTCCTGTACTTCGGAGGCTGTGATGGCTTCTTCATCATTTCATTCTGCCGACTGAAGGGGACCGCCTGGGGGTTAGGAGGCTGAGGAGGAGGTTGGAGGAACGCCTGCATCCTGGCATCGGGCATGGGTCCTCCCAGCCTCTCCCACATTCCAGGCGGTAGCCCCAACCCGTTCTCCAGCATGGCTATCAACTTCCTCTGCTCTTTCAGCTGCTGTTGTTTTTGTTCCTCTTGTCTCTTCTGCCTTTGTTTATCCTGATTCCTGGTGAGCAGGTTGGTTACCACCATTCTGGGACCCGGGAGCTCAAAATGGTAGCCCATCTTCAGGAGAGTGGTGTTGGCCTTCAACAGCCTGGATATTTCCATTTCGGCATGGTGGCCCAGCATGTGCCTTTGATTGTGAAACCGAAGTTCGGTGAGCGTCTCGTTGAATTGGAGACACCTCATGATGGCCACAATTCCTTTACCTGTGATGAAATTGGACTCAATGTTGAGAGTGGTGATGCTCCTATTTTCCCGCAACATGTTAGCCAAGGCAAATGCTATGTTCTCATCAGCGCCCACGTTTGCTAAACTGAAGGTTTTGACATGTTTGTTTTTCTTCATTGCATTGACAAAGTCCAGTAACATTTCCTTGGGGATGTTCTCAATGTTGTTCAAATTGAGCTCCTTCATGTCGGGATCGTTCTGTCTAACTCTCCTCAAGCTCCCATCCAGGTCCGTCTGGTTTCCTGAAGGCCTTGCACTTACCTTTAAAAAACTGGTGTCTAAAGCTAACTTCTTAGGATCTAATTTGGATATTTTTTTCTCACTTTTTTCTTGGCCCTCTAGTCTGTCTTTCTGTTCTTCAAATGCTTTCTTAGCTACTTGTGGGGAGCTGCTCTCGCCATTTCTGATTTTTTCCTTTTCCTCCCCTCCCTCTCCTCTTTGTGGCTTTTTATCACTCTCTTCCTTGTCGTCTTCATCCTCATCATCTTCATCCTCATCCTCCTCCTCCTCATCCTCCTCCTCATCTCCTTCACCTTCTTCACCATCATCATCATCTGGTTCTTGGACATCAGGGCTGACTTTTGATTCTCTTCTATTGGCTGCAATTTCATTGTTGAGCCTTTCTTTTAAATACTGGGACACATGTCTATTACCTTTGCCTGTTTCTTCATGCTGCTCTTGAGTGTCCACCTAAAAGAGAGTTTTATGAGGGTTAGAACATATGCAGTGGAGAAATATGAAGCAGAGCAGTGGCTTCTGGAAATAAGAAAAAGGTTTATTATGAAGTGAAAAAAAGCAAATAAACTGTATGTTGAGCATTCCATTTGTATGGGTATCCATCTATATACGTATATACAAAATACCAAGTTTATAGACATATTAGACCAAAAGTCTGTTGTAATGTTTACCAAATTAGAAGTTCTCTCTTAGAAAGAGAGGTAACTGGAAAGGGAAGAGCACCTGGCTGGCTCAGTCAGAGGGGCACAGGACTCCTGATCTCCAGGTTGTGAATTCGAGCCCCATCCTGGGTGTAGAAATTACTTAAACAATAAAATCTTTTTTAATGTTTTTATTTCATTTTTGAAAGATAGAGACAGAGCACTAGCAGGGGAGGGGCAGAAAGAGAGGGAGACACAGAATCTGAAGCAGGCTCCAGGCTCCGAGCTGTCTGCATAGAGCCCAACGTGGGGCTCGAACTCATGAACCATGAGATCATGACCTCAGCTGAAGTCAGATGCCTAACCAACTGGGCCACCCAGGTGCCCCAAACAATAAAATCATAATGACTGGGGAAGGAAAGCCCTTGGGGGCTTTTCACTTTTTATATTATATAATTCTCATGTGTTTGAATGGTTTTCTTTTTAAAACAAAGTATCTATATTAGTTTTGTTGGCAAATATAACCTAAATAAAGATGAATTTTTATAGCCATACTACACATACATACAAACACACATTATTTTGGTTGTGTTTATCTCATCCCTTATATTAAAATGAAACCTAACTTTGTTTTCAGATTCTGCATTGTTTTTTAAAATGGTAGTCAATTCTAGAAGTGATCCAAAAATGATTTGCTTTGAAAACCTTAAAGAGTTATCTATCAATACACTGAAGTCTTGGTTTTATATTATAGTGAAATAGGCATTTTTGTATTCAAAGTCCTGGTGACAGAATAATTTACTTATTGCCCTCAACAAAATTTACATTCCTTAAATTCTTGCTAATCTTGTATAACATGTACATCATGATAGTTGCCCTGAAAATGTAACATATTGTGGGGAAAATGAGAGCACTTTGCTATTCTGAAATATATCAAAGACCTAAACTTGGTTGTTTTGTTTTGTGTTTTTTGTTTTGTCTCAGCTCTGTGACAACTGCCCTGGCTACTTCAAGGACAGGCTCGCTAGTCCAGTTTCTTTTGAAACAAAGTGTCTAGAGGCAGAGCCAGCTATGAAAGACACGGCAGGACTATGCAGATATTCAGCAACTATTGCTTAATCTAGAAAGGAAAATGGCAGCCTTTAATCAATAATGTTTATTAGATTCTTGCCCATCAATGAGTGCACTTTCCTATACTGCATGTGTAACTCATGGGTGTCATTTCGAAAGCTGGTATAGCATTTTCAAGCCATAATTTGATCTTGTTGCCCCTGACATATTGTAGGTTAGAAGCCACAGTTGACAACAGTCACCCTAAAACCACCTAAAGCCTTGACCACTGCATTTCTCATCTGTCCCAGGAGGGGGAGCCAATCATCAAGCTGTTTAAATTATACCAAAGGAACAAAGTGTTCAAAGTACCCAATTAATTTTTTTTCCTGAAATTCACATTCATATAGAATTGGCTTTTAAATGTTTTTTTTTTTTTTATTTATTTCTAGGACAGAGAGAGAGACAGCATGAGCAGGGGAGGGTCAGAGAGGGAGGGAGTCACAGACTCAAACAGGCTCCAGGCTCTGAGCTGGCAGTCAGCACAGAGCTCGACGCGGGGCTCGAACCCACGAACCGCGAGATCATGACCTAAGCGAAAGTTGGACGCTCAACCAACTAAGCCACCCAGGCGCCCCATAGAATTGGCTTTTATTCCAGTTGCAAAATATCTGGAGATTATGCCTGACGCTGGAATCTGATCAAGCAAGCAATATTTTTTTCTTACCTTTAGCGCATGTTTAAACTCTTCTAACCATGAAGATAGTTTGTAACTTTCCTTAATTACAGCCAGCATAAGAGCAACGTGACAACATATATGTGTATCAGCAGGCATAACCAAAAGAGACTTTACCTGCTGGCATCTCTGTCTTCCTTTTGCTATGTCATTTGTAAGTGGAACATTTAAAAAAGTATGCTGATTAACAGTCATCTCATAAATTCAACCATAAATACCAGTTTTCATATAAAAAACATATTTAAGAAAGGACTGTCTTTAAGACAGCTATTTCTTGGCTATCAATTTCTAAACTTTTTACCGATAGCCAGTAAGCTGTGTTAATATTGCATTTTTGGTTATTAACTTGGTTAATTTCAAGTTGTGTGGTGGGCCTTCAGAGGGGTTTAAGACCTTTGCAATTGTATGTGAAATAGCATATGAATGCATATGCCCAAGGATGGGTACAGAGTTTTCATCAGCTTCTTTAAGCAGCTTGTGAGCCAAAGAAAGGAGTCAAGGACAAATGCTTCACTAAGTATAATGTCTGCAGAAAACAGGCTTTCCTACACCATGAACCCCATAGCAATTTTTAAAAAAAGAGACATTGACAAGAAACTACTCCTTTTCCTTCCCAATTCTACCATGTAAGTGTTCCAGGAAGTTCCAATCTGGCACATGATTAAACATTATGATTTAACCTAGAGGAGGCAACAAAGCAAAAGAAAACATGGAGTCTTGAGAAATGACCATCGCAACATAGACACCTGTTGCTCAGGCCCAGGCAGCCGTTTCTCTGTTGTACACACATCCCTGGTTACCTGGGACGGCACAAAGGTGACAGGGACACGTTCGTCTTCCAGCATGCGTCTCGATGCCTTCTGCCAGTACATATAATCCATAAGAGATTTATGGTCAAAGTTTCCCGTGGGTGGCTTTTCGGTCTGATCCTTCTGAATCATTCCCACGGGAAGCCTGGGGTCAGGGGCCATGACTTCCATTTCCGACTGCAGTTTCTTCAGCTCTTCAGGGGACAAGTTGGCCAAGATTTCATCTTCATCAATCTCCTCATCAAAGAGTTCCTCTTGATCTGAATTCCTGCTGTGTTCTGACATGATTTTCGATATTTTTCTATGTTCCTAGAGAAGGAGAAATAACCAAAGACTCTCAAGATAATCAGCCCTCAAGAAGTCCCCCCAGTGAACGAGCAATCCGGGTTAACGCTACTCCGAGAGATTTTACCCCCCTGAGAATCCCAGCAGTGTGCGCTGAGCAGCTGGGGGGTGACTGAAGCTAAGCTCACGGTGTATCTATATTAAGCAGGGCTTGGCTGGATCGGGTCAACTTATGGGACTACTCTGCTGCTCTCATTTTGGCAACTTGAGTCAGCTGTGCAAATCCATCTGACATTTCGGTGCAGCTGCTTAGGTTCCCCAGTAACAGGTCTAGACAACCTCTACAGGAATAAAATTAGCACTTTTCATGTATGCTCTTACACGGTCACACCCAAATGCACGCCAGCCCATAAACACATACCGCAACCACCACAGGAGGACACCACTTCTTTTTCTTTGGAGGATTAAAGCAACTTACAAGATTTTGGAAGGAAGATCCAACCAGTGACTTGAGCGCTACGGAAGTGAAAAGTTCACTTGAAGGTGGAACTGGAGCTCTCCGGGTTTCCCTCGTCGCTACAGTGTGACTCTGGACACAAACCTGCACAGAGCAGAGCTGAGGTCTGGCCGTGTTACTCGTTCCCTGCGTAAGCTGAACCTTTGCAAGATGCCCTTATTTGCATCTAGATCCTGTGATCAAGCAGATGGGGGCAACCAGCACTTGAATTTCCACCTCTAAGTGAGGAGTTTAATATTTTAAATGATTTGTTTTTCTTACTAAGTATCCATTAAGCCAGGATGAATTAAAGGAGATCACAAATGAAATGCAAAACAAAGCAAACAAAAAACAAAAAAACACCCAAGCCATGAAAGTATTGGAAGAAACCATGAAAGGATTTTTTTTAAAACACCAGAGGGCAATAGGGCTGTATTTATCTAAATGACAAGTGCACATTTTTTTGACTCAGCAATTCCACTCTTGGGAATGTGTCCTACAGATAGATTGTAGATATGGGTGAACTGATAGGTGCACAGACTTATTCAAAATAGCAAAGTACAGAATAGTATGTATTGTATGCTGTGATTTGTAGGATAAAAAGTAAAAGAATGTATGTATACATACACCTTTTATCACCAGAACAGATCCTTGGAAAGATACACAAGAAACAATATCCTCTGTACTTTTGGAGACAGGAGCTACCTGTCTGGGAGACAGGGCTAGGAAAGACTTTGTTATTGTATACCCTTTTATAATTGCCAACTTTGGGACTTTATGAATGGAATGCTTAGTCGACCATTTAATGCTTATTTTAATGCTTATTCGTCACTTATTTGTCCATTTATTGTACAAAAGTTAGGATGACACAGGGAAGTATAAAGAAAATAAAAATTTCCCCTTAGGTCATCTTTAAGAGCTATCACTATTAACATTTTGGTTTGGCATTCCACTTCTTTCTTCCAGACATATGAACTAAATAATCTTTTGTCATCTGTTCTTTTTTTAACTTACAAAATCAGGATTTCCTCCATAAGATTTTTTTCTACTACTATTACTACTTTATCTATCTATCTATCTATCTACCTACCTACCTACCTACCTACCTATCTATCCATCCATCTATCCATCCATTTGGTGCATATGAGTGGGAGAGAGGGGCAGAGGGAGAGAATCTTAAGCAGACTCCATGCTCAGCATGGAGCCCAACGTGAGGCTTGATCCCATAACTGGAGACAAAATCAAGAGTCGGGTGCTCAGCCAACTGAACCATCCCACCCCGATGCTACCATAATTTTTAAGAGCTCTCTGCTAAGATTCTTTATATGGATACAGCATACTTTATGTAACCAATCCCCAATTGTTGAATATTTGGACTGTTTTCTTTCTCAAGTTCATTTATTTATTTTTGAGAGCTAGTGAGCACAAGCAGGGGAAGGGCAGAGAGAGAGAGACATATGCACACAGAATCTGAAGCAGGCTCCAGGCTCTGAGCTGTGAGCACAGAGCCGGACGCAAGGCTGGAACCCATAAACCATGAGATCATGATCTGAGCTTAAGTTGGGCACTTAACTGATTGAGCCACCCAGAAACCCCTATTTGGACTGTTTTTAATGCTCACAGCATAGGAATTCTTTAGTAAACATCTCATGTAGCTCAATCATTACATACATGTAAGTTTATTTCTTTAGGATAAGGTGAATCCTTATTCTAAGAGGTGAAATTGCTAGGTCCAAGAATATGAAGCAATGAAAGGCTTTTCATATGACTAAGTGATCTGCTCAATATTTTTGTAAATCATCCCAAATACATATATATGTTCAATTATTTGTAAGCCATCTATATTACTATTCTAATATGTCATTTACAGATATTACATTTATTATATATAATTAAATATTCTTAAACATTTATAATATATTTAAAATTTTGATTTTGGCATATGTTTTATGTACATACTATGCATACACAGACATACATATATATACATATACAACGATATAACTAAACATACGCAAAAAAGGCAAATGGGAGAAGTTTTAAATGGATGTTCTAATGTTTTCTTCTCATCCCAGTTTTTATATTGAAAACCCCAAGGTTGAGAAGCTTTTCATAGGTTTGGCTGTATTACTCCCGAGAAAGGTATTACCAATTTACTTGAATGATGGTTTTTAAAGTCAAGAACATAGGCACATAGTGGCAACACGATGTTGGCTGCTTTCCTGCCAGGTCTTCCTATCATCCCTATAAAAGGGATTGATACATTTAGCTTCAGTGGGCAGGCAGGAAGGGTTTTGTGCTCAAGGAAATTTGGGAAATGTGAAATTCTGCTTTTGCCTTTTAGAGATTTGTACAGCACCTGGGTTTTTAAAGACTCTGAGGAATCATACACAAGGTAAACCAATTTGTTTAGCCCAATATTCCCCAGCCTAATTCATGTTACCACCCCAAGCATCACTTACTAATATCCTATGCAAATAATGATCTAAAATTCATACTTTGGGGAATACTGGTCTAAATATGAAAGAGGAAGGGCTGGCATCAGCCTGCTGAATTCACCTTCCAGGTGAACTTTTTAGTAACTATGTGCTTTTGGACAACTTAGCCCAATTGCCTCATCGTATAAAAAGGATCTGAGGGGCATCTGGATGGCTCAGTTGGTTGAATGTTCAACTCTTGGTTTTGGCTCAGGTCATGATGAGATCAAGCCCAGTATGGGACTCTGAGCTGATGGTGCAGAGCCTGCTGGGGATTCTCTCCAATCACTCTCTGTCCTTCCCTTCTGCTCACTTGTGCTCTCTCACTCTCTCTCAAAAAAACATTTTTTAAAAAAGGATCTGAAAATAGTTACCATATGCAATTATTGAGAGAACCAAATGAAATGAAATATAGATACACAAATTAAGTAGGATCATGCATGGCACAGAGAAAGCCTTCAAAGTGTTGAATAGTCCCAACTAGTCCCATCTTTCATAGATAACCACAGAAACATTTAAAGAAAAACAAAGGCAGTTATAAACTTAATACATTTTATAAACCTCTTCCATGACAGAAACTATTATATTAAACAAAAGGGCTTTTAAAAAATCTTGTTGGGGCACCTGGGTGGCTCAGTCGGTTGTGCGTCCCACTTTGACTCAGGTCATGATCTCACAGTCCGTGAGTCCAATCCCCGCGTCGGGCTCTGTGCTGACAGCTCAGAGCCTGGAGCCTGCTTCAGATTCTGTGGCTCCCTCTCTCTCTGACCCTCCCCTGCTCATGCTCTCTCTCTCTCTCTCTCTCTGAAATAAATAAAACATTAAAAAAATCTTGTTGCTTTTACAGAAAGCAAGGGGCTTTTAGATGGGATTATGTATAAGGAAAATAGAACACCACCATTTGCATGTAAATATAAAGGTGTCCCAAGGAAAATGATCTGCAATTGTGGTTTATAAGCTTTCGGATTGAAATTCTATTCTGGGGACCCAGCGTTTTTGATGATCAAAAGCAGATTTAGGAACTGCTGTAAAGAAGGCTACCTTCAGTCCCGTGGAATGAGTTTAGGAAGCGAGAACATCTTTCCCAGCTGCTTCCAATGTGCATTTTACTCCTATGCTGACAGAGAGGGTTTTGCTGGTGTAATTAGCCTCATTTGACACACAGATGATTTAGCTGTGCTTTCTCTTAATGTTGCCGCCTGGCTGCCACCTCAGCAGCTTCTCACATCAGAATCCAACCACCAGACCAAAAGAAAGAGGCTAGCTGTGGGACAACTGGGTTTTACCGTCAGGTAGGGCATCGCGGGTCAGACTCTCTGGCAGAGCTTATTAAGTGCGCTGACATCCTGGGGCCCACAGAGAAGCTATTGAACCAGACATCTCTGGTTTGGGTTCAGGAGTCTGTATTTTTTGAAAGCTCTCCAGGTGAATGTCATGTGTGACTAAGCATGGGAATCACGGGGCTACAGCAAGCCATCCATTTTACAGATCAGGCTCAGATAGCTTAAGGAACTGCATTTGATGAAGTTCACAACGCACTACCCCAAAATACAATGTCTTGGAATATGAAATAGTTTAACCTGAAGGTATTTGAGAAACGGCAGGTGCAAGAAAGACTCTGACCTCCTCCTCCTTGTGGGTTAGAAGTTCCTCGCATGAGAGCTGATCTCCCTTTCCCTGGAGCGAAGGAGCACCCTGATCTCACTGAAGGACTCCAGGAGGAATCCAAACTGACACCACTTGCTAAATTTCCCCCAGTTTACTACCTTGAGCTCATATCCTTTTGTCGCATTATGATTTTTTTTTTAATGTTTTTATTTATTTCTAGGAGAGAGAGAGAGAGACAGCGTGATCAGGGGAGGGTCAGAGAGAGAGGGAGACACAGACTCTGAAATTGGCTCCAGGCTCTGAGCTGGCAGTCAGCACAGAGCCTGACGCGGGGCTCGAACCCACGAACCGTGAGATCATGACCTAAGCGAAAGTCGGACGCTTAACCGACTAAGCCACCCAGGCGCCCCGGGTTATGA